AATGGGTGTACTTGATTGAAAGAATAGATCAGTCATAACGACTTTTCTCAGAGAGTAAAAAATTAACCAGGATTAAGTTTTCACAGCTTTGAATATATTATGGATTCTCTGTTTCTAATAATTAAATAGGGAAGGCTTTCTCCAATAATAAACTAAGAATGAAATTAGCAACAGTTGTATAGAATAAAACCAAACACCAAGGATTCAAAGCCAAAAGTGCAGTTCTGCAGAGCAGGAGGGGTTAGATAACATTTGGTGTGACCAAGTCCCCTCAGTCCTGGCTTGGAGGAGATGCCACATGTAGAGGTCTTGCTCCACTCTGCCCCTAATGCCTCCCTACCAGTCAGCCACGGGCAGCCTCAGCCTGTAGGGTCAAGGTCACTTGAGATGGTGGACAGTAGCCTGAGGATGAATTTAGCTCCTACCTGCAAATTGCTGGCCTTCATGCTGCCTTCAGCATGTCTTGAGAGGGAGTTTGAGGTGCAAGGCAAGGGAAGGATGTGGGAGGACATCATCATGCCCTGCGGTTGTGAGGCCAGGAAAGAAGGAGGCCGGGAGCCTGCCATCGGTGACTCAAGGCTATGTGTCTCTGGATAGCGCTGAGGCTGGATGTGGTCCTCCCTGTCCCACAGGACACTGCATCTGTTTCTTTGGAAGAATAGAATGAGGTTCCCCTCCCAAGACACTTTTTTTTTTTTTTGATGGGAATCTTGTAGAGCTTGATTTATGGGCCCCACTGTGGCTTTTTGCAGCCTGTAATGTTGGAGCCTTTCAGAAGCTCAGATATGGAGAGGAGAAGTGGTGTAGGAGGACATGAGAGAAGAACTTTTGTAACAGAAAAGCTCTCAGTTTCTAAATCTATATAACCAGTTCATTCTTCTTTAATTATATGCATGAGTACTTATGAGACTCTCTTGTGTGTAGACAAGGCAGCTGACTACAGAGCACACTCCCTGCCTGACCCTTTGCACCCTTTTTTTCTGCTGTTTCTTTCTCTTGAGGAGGCCTTGCTGTAGTGACTCCTCTCACATGTTGAAACTGTTGTTTTTATAACACAAAATACTAGAAGTTTTCAAAAGCTTAGTATGGAAGATATATTTCTAAGTCACGTTTCTTGCCAGAGGAGTAGTGAGCACTAAATGTTGGCTGTAGACAGTGGTAGACTCGGGATTTGGTAGTTAACCAGTAAAAATATTAAAACAGGCAAAGTCTGTCATCACATAAGAGACAGCTTTCAACTTTACTAAATGTCTTTCTACTTACAAAGTTAATGGAAACCAGTCACAATGATAAAATCTGTGACTGTCTTAAATAGAAAGAATTCTTGGTTCCTTGTGGTAGAAAAAAGACTGGAATTTAAATTCTTGGGCTTTCCCTCCTCATTTTTAATTCCTTTCGTTTGATTAAAAGAAAGTTTTAAAAATGAACAGTCCAATGCATGAAGAAAAGAGAAACCTACATCTTAGTTAGATAAAAACCCAACCCTTAAAAAATACCCAAACCTTGCAATTATGAGAAATCTAACAGCCCCAATACATGAGAACCAGAGCAGATAGAGAAGGTAAACAGAACCTTGGGCAAAAAAGGATGAATGCAGGATTGTTACTGGAGGATGCCTGATAAAAACATGACGGGAGAAACCACCATGCAAACCACTTGCAGCTCAGGAAAAAGAACAGCAAACAAGCAGAGATTGGAGTTGCAGATAACAATGTGCAGAAACTTTCTGAGAGAAAGCAGGGAATAAAAATAAGGGCAATAATCACATAAAAAGAAAGCTCAGAGATCCAGATGTGCCAAAAGGCCAGCAGAAAAGAAACAAGTAAAAGAAACTCAAGGACTATGAAGTTGAAAAGTTGCAATAGCTCTGGAGAATTTCACAAATTACTGGACAAATTATGAAAGAAGGAAAAAACAGAGCAGATCCTCCTCACCTCAAGCATCTCTGCCTGAAGAATGGAGCTCCAGTTGCACTGCATAGCACAGTGCTGCCATTGCAGCCTTACTGCAGGTCGGCTCCGAGAGCAAACATCAGCCTTTGCAAGCTCTTCAGAAGAGAGGCTGTCCTTCCATTTGTTTTTGCATGCTGTAGCACTCCTGCTAGGGCTCTGAGACAACTATAGTGGCCCAAACAATAAATAGGAGAGTTAAGATAAATCTCACGGCATCAAAACTGGGTGAACTGACTCTTGTTAGCATAGCAAAGACAATATTGGCCATTGCAAGACTGCCAAAAAGCCAAGTCAACTGATATTTAGTGAAGACTTTTGTCTGCTGTCTTTAATACTTTTTAAGAGTGACAAAATGGGAATTAATATTTTCTACTCTATAAAAACTTCTATTGTAAAAACAGTCTGGTTTGTGCTAGAATGAAGCCATGGCTCCCTGAAGTTTTACATAAACAACCCAATTAAGAGCAGGACCATCACCTCATGAGCTCAATGTCTGCCTGTTATGACCAGCTCTCGCCTATCTCAAGGGTGTCATCACAAGGTTATTCTGGGGTTGGGATCTTTTCTTCATTTTGATAAAAAATCTCATCCTGGACTGAAAAATCTCTCCCAGTCACTGTTAGAATGCATTGTCCCCTTATGCTAGCAAAAAAAGATTGAGTTTTGGCAAACCAATATAGAGACATTTCTCCAAATCAAAGGGCTTAATTAAAAATTTCTCATCAAACTCTATTTCCACTTGCATATGCCCTTGTAAGGTCTGATCCAAACATGTCAAAGTCATCTGGTGGATCCTTCTAAGCAAACACTACCCACTGTGCAAGCTGGATGTTTTATCTAAGTAAAACTTTTAGGTTGCTGTTCTGGCCTATGAAGAGAGAAGCAGCCATGCATACTGGTATGTGTGGTTTAGGTGCCAGTATCAGAAGTACATGGATATTCATTGGGATTTCTCATAGTCCTATTCCCAGGAGACTGTGTTTCTCCATGAGGAAAGAAGGTACCTAGCTGGTTAGCTACAATACAAGTTACCTAGTTGGTAAACTACACCAACAAAGGTTGGAGAGATTAGTTCCAGTATGTCTCGATGTAGGTTTGGGTTACAGGCAAGATCCTTCAATTTCCATTATAAAGAGCCACTACTATACTAAATTAAGACAGAAGTGAAAGCTACTGCAGTTATAATTGCTCCCATTAGAGGAGCCTGAGCTTCATTTGGGAGGCCAAAACATCATCTGAAAACCATAGATACAAAGCTGTCAAAATGGCATTCACTAAACATGCAAATTATACCTGCCCCTTCTCTTCCTCAAACTCTCCTCTACTGAAAAAACTCTCTGTTTGCAATTTTGGGGGCAGAAATGTTAAGAAATATTTACCTGTGCCAAAGCTTACAGCCTTGCTTATAAAAGTATATCACCAAATGGCCAAGTGTAGGAGAGGTGCACAGGCATTTATACTGCAACATGACTCTTAAATGAGTCCTCTTAAATGTTTAAGATTAGTAATTCCAGTCAATTTTGTGCAACATTGATAGTTTTTCTAGTTTTTAGTAGTAATGGACAGTACATCATTACTAAAATCGTAATATTTTTGCACCTGGGCTCTTTTATGATAGTGTTACTCCTGTGCAAAATTAAATGTCAGCAAAAGAAGAGTGATTCTGAAATGAAATTTTAAATAAATGCATTATTACGCTGAGGAGGTAGTATAGTGATTTAATACGGTGACTAGTCACACCTGAATAACTAAAGAGTTTGTTTTCACAGGGAAGCGCTAAGTTTGCTAAAGCGAAGGGAAAGTATTTTATTACAAATAGGTTATCTTAGCGCTTTCACTCAGTTTGGGGCAAAACTTCATGTGGAAACTGGTATTTGACAGAAGCATAGCTAGGGAAAAAAAAAAATAAAAGAAAGGAAAAATAAGTAAAAAGTTATCAAAGCAAGGTCCCTAAACACAAAGTGCTCCGGAAGACACCCAGAGCAGGCAGGGTCCTTCCTCCGCAGCTGCGGGTCTGAGCTCTGCAACGAGACCCCAAATCCTGGTTCCCCACTCCTCCTGTGGACTGCTGTAGGCATGGAGCTAGGAGAAGGGTCAGGATGGGTCCCTTGCTTCCTGGGTAAAATGTGCAACTGCTCAGGATGACTCCATCTCCCTCTCCATGCTACACATGGTTCAACTCCTGCCGACGAAGGCTGTTCTCCACAAATTATAACTTATAGGGCTGGAGAGTTTAGTGTAGCTCATTTGTAAAGCTGCTCAACAAATGTACAGCAGGTGCTGGAGGAATGCAAAAGACTGTTGTACTTCTTCATCAAGTCATTAGAAATTTTGGAAGGGGTTAAATTTCTGGGCTATCTTCAGATTCATGAAACCTATTTCACAATTGAAATAGTGAAGGAGTGTTCAAACCGTGAGGACAAAATTCATAGTCTTTTAGGATTTTTTTCCACTTTGTCCTGGAAAAATAGCTTCCCTGCATTTTTTTGTAGCTTCCTTGTTTTCCTTCATTGCAGTTTCCTTTCAGTATTTCTTTGCTGAGTTCATGCATCAGCCTATTCATTAGATATAAGGATGAAAAAAAGAATGAAAAATAAAGCAAAAATAAGGATCTGTTCCCAAAGCCAGTGAAAACAATGGGAGTCAAAGGAACTGGCATTGACAAAACATTTTATTTTCCTCGGGAGAGTAAGAATGATTCTAGCCAAAGCTTTGGAGCACAAAGATCCCAGTAATACATCCAGCACAACAAAATGTAAATTGATGTCTTATTTAGGTTCTTACCACCTTGTTAATCATGGCACTCACCTCATATTGCGTTTGAGGAGCAGAGTGACAGTCGTTATTATTGCATTAACTGCACACGGCAAGGTCTTTTATCTTCCTATGGGATTTTAGGTTGACTACTGTAAGTACAGTTTCTGACTGCTGAAAGCTGAGGGTAACCCCTTAAAAAGATATAATCTCTCTCTTTTTTCTTTTTTTTTAAACTTTGGAAATTACAAACAGAAGAGCCTGCGATGTAGAGACACACACAGAAGGAAATGATCTGAGAGAGGAGCCTTTAATAAGCTAAATAGGTTCAGCTTAATGTACATTCTTGTCTTCATTAATTTAGCGGATGATTTTCAGAAGAGTGAGCCTCTCTTTCTCTGGTGTAGGCAAAGTGCAGCTGAACTCACCCCCCTGCTGATGTGCTATGGGTAAAATCATCTAGAAATCACTTAATCTGAAAGGAAAAATCCTCTTAGGTATTTTCCCAAAGATTTCCTTCAATAGGCTCAGCATAGGCAATCGTATAAGGAAGAAAACAGTTTAGCTGAAGATTTTCCTACAGCACAGCTCCCGCATTGCTTCGCTTCCCCTCTCCGGCAAAAGATGGCCCTCCCTCTCCTAGCTTTGACAAATCTTTTTGGGGCCGCTGGCTGACTTTTTAAAACAGTTGTTGTGTCTGCTGTGTACTGCAAGCTGCGAACCTCACAAGGAGCATCACACTGGTCTGTGCCCCAAGTAGCGTACAGCTGGAAGTCAGATTTCATAAATCAAGTCCGAGGAAATCTCATGAGAGGGAGCTGTCACATGGGGTCACGTAAATGAAAAACCAGCTCTTAAGAAGTGGGCACGTCTCAGCACATTGGTGCCAAAGCACTCCTCATTAGGAGCTGACTGAATGGCAAGAACAGCTCTGTTTCCATCCCATCTGCTCCATGGCGCTCATTCATCAACAGAGAACCACCACATGCCAACTGGAACTGGGATCCAGCAGCATGCAGGAGAAGTCGGAGAGTGAAAGAAAGCTGCAGCCTAATGGGTCACCCAGCATCCCACGGGCTGCAGAGGATGCGCTGGGGCTGCAGGAGGCAATTCAGAGTTGTCAAAAGCTCTTAAGATTAAAAAAAAAACAACAAACAACACGTATTCTAGTAAGACAATAACCCGCTTCACTTTGGCTGAGGACAATTTAATGTAAAAGAACAGTTTGCTCAGATGCTTTTTTTGGGGGAACTATTGAGGTTCTGGGAAATAGCTGCCTTTCCAGCTTGCTAGCTCTAGGGTAGTGTTGGTTTTGTCCAGAGGTTGTGGTCAGGGAGCTTTCATTCACAATTGCTGTATCATAGGTCTGGAGAGAATCATCTGGATAGGGAACTTCAACATCCTCATTGTGCTTTGAGAACAGAAAAGAGATTAATCCAGAAGAATTATCTTTAATAAATAGTGCCTTTTATCTCGCTGGCAATCTAAGCGCTGTGAACGTTGTTGCTTAACACCATCCTCACTGCAACCTACATTTTTTGGGGGAACTTGCTACCAGACATGGATTTCAACTTCCCCAGTAGCAAATTTGCTCTTGCAATTAAATACTTATCCCCTCCAACCTTGCCTCCCCTCAAGCTGTTTAAAAGACCCCCTGATTAAAAGGCATCACATTCCAATATTGATTATCCATGCAGCTTACAACAGATATTGTGCTTTGTGGTTTTAATTGTGTGCTTAACCTCTTTATTTGAAGGCTCACAACATTTCCAACTTCTTATCTGACCGCCATGATCTTCCTTCTGGTTTCTTATTCACTGAAGAATTCATGTCCTTTGTTCTAATCTGATATGGCAATATGCATGAGTTGATTTCTTTTTGGTCTGTGTTGCTCAAGTGTTAAACCATATTGGGAAAGACTTTGTACCCTTTAGTGGCTCATTTGCCTCTGGAAACTCTGCATCTGCTGGCAGTAATATTGGTGCCATGGATGGGCTAGTGAGTTAGTATTAGGCTTCATCAGTGAAGGATGAGACATTCTTCCTCCTTTCCCAGACTCTGAGTGATGTTGCTGGTCCAAATCCATTAATGTTTTTGCTACCATCCTCCAGCAATGTGGGAAAACAAAAGACAAAGACTATTCATGTCAACAAGAAATCTGGAAAAAAAAACAAAAACAGGCTTTCATAATCAAAGAAATGTTTCTGTCCTTATACAGCATAAAGCAGCAGAAGAAAAATAAAAAAGAGAAAAAATAAAAAAAGAAATACATTTATGATGCCCCAGCAATAAACATGCCTGCAGCCTACAAAACAATATCAATATAACACAGGGATCATCAACATGCCATTGTGGATGAGCAGATTGCACACTTCAGTTGAAAAACAAATAGCTTTTTCAGAATAGCTTTCAGAACTCACTGAAAAAAAAAAAAATACACTCCTAATTTTAGGCATAGAGAGCATGTGTTAACATTGCCACATGATGAATGCATGATAGTTTGCTCCAGACAACCAACCTTAAAATATCTGAGACCTTATTGTGTTATTGGTGTTTATAATTTGTACTGCAGTCAAGCCTAAAAGCCCTAGGGCATCAATTGTGCTGTGGATGGCATAAACAGAGCAAAAAGACTGTCCCTGTCCCCCAGATACTGCAGGCTAAACAAAACCTTGTCTGTCACCTGCTCTTCCCTCTCACCTATAGCTTGAGTTTTCTCTAGCTTAGGTCTTCAGCACCTAACCTCTCTAAGGTAGGAACAACGTGGTACTGGCGTGTCTGGATGGCACCCGTTTTTGAATGCTTGCTGCATAAACAGTGCACTGAGTAGAGCTTTATATCTGCCTCCTTTATTTATTTATTTATTTATTTATTTATTTATTTATTTATTTATTTTTGAGAACAGACTCCAATGGCTTTTGGAATATTTCCACTGAGACTGTTTATTTGGAACCCACAGAAATACAAACCATAATAACTAACAAATTTTATTTTCTGAGCTGTTGTGTAATTCCATTGTAATTCTCTGGAATTCTATTGAAATTCTTCTCGCAGATGCCTCTGTCCTCTGCTGGATCTGGCCAAGGAATTGAATGTGGGCTAGTGAGGAGCCTTAATGTGATGGTGGAACATGTCCATCTACGCTATTGCGATTCTAGGCAGCCAGCTTCTTTGTCAGTTCCTTTCTCAAAGGCTGTGGCACTGAATGAACCGGCATTAGACTCAAGCAGAGCATCAGAAGCCAATAATTTTTCTGTTATCTGACTTGCAAAAAATGTTTTCTCATACGTTTCTTTCTGCCATTGTTTATTTTTAAGAAGATGAAGGTCTATGCAAGGAACAATCCTAGTACTGTGGATCAGTTAGGCTTCCCAGCTTCTTTTCTTTTCCCAGGCAGATCCACCTGAAAACTAGTTGATCTCAGCTGTGTTTTAGCACATGCTTTGAATTAAAATTATTTCCTCCATGCTTTGCACCTCCCAGAGCACTCTGAGGCCAGCAGGTGGTTTGAAACATCCTCCTCTTGTAGCCTTCCAAGAGCCCGTCCACTTTTGCCTTTGCTCTTTGTCTCCTTCCAGCCCGTGTGGTCACCTGCAGCCTCTTGCTAGGCTCACCTACAAGGAGGTTTCCTCCAGTGGAAATCCTGAGGCTGCAGTTGGCCCACAATAAAGATGTGTTTCCTTCCCTGCACCAGGCAGAATGGCATTGCTGGGCTCTTGCTGTCTGGCCAGCACCTCTGCAGCTCCATCTGCCTCCCCAGAGGTGGATGTCCAGACTGCTTCCTGGGCTGGAAGCAGGACTGGAAACCCCAGCTCCACATTAGGATGCGTGTGAGCATCCTAATTGGGAGCAGGAAAGCTGTGTCCTTATGTCCCTGCTGTCCCTCCAGACCCCCAGCTCACAAAGAGCACCGAATTATCTTCTGCACTCAGGAAGGGCTCCTGCTGCTCTGCCAGAAACCTTTCAGCATGGTGCCAAGGATACTGTCGTTGAAGGAGGGAGGACATCACGGCTGAGATCTGGTCCCATGCTCTCTATGAGGAAGTGATCATCCCAGACGTGTGCCAGGAGGAGCCTGGTCTTATAGACAGGAAAGCTCTGACCTGACAAGGGGGCAGGAGCCCCGGTGATGCATGGGTTCTCATTCTCCATCATCCCTGGGTACATGCAGGAGGGAACTGCTGGGGCCTCTGAGCCCTCCTGGGCCAACTCAATGCCATAATCTCTCATCCTGAGGGATGTTAACACAAAAAATTGCCAGTGCCTTCACAGTGCAGGTGGTTTGAGTGTGGTGGTCAAGGTTAAAGATCCAGTCACTGCATCCAACCCGAGTCTGCTTTGTCACAGCCACAGGTGTCCACAGCCACAGCCAACAGGGTGTCTGACCAAGAACCTGAAAAATCAATGCACGAGAGAGCCCTCTTGCCAAATCTAACCTGAGGCTTGCATTCATTACCAGCTGTGATCTGGTAGTATGTTTGTCCCCCTGGATAAGCTCTCACTGTCCTGCACCATGCCCTGGAGCCCAGCGGAGTGGCCAGCCCCATGTCTCCAGCCTGGCCCAGGGGGCCAACACAGTCGCAGTGGTGCTGCTCCAATTTGTGCTGCCTGCTTCTGCCCCTGCCCACTCGCTTCCTAAAACTGCCTGCGAGTTGCTCAAACCCTCAAGGGAACGGTTTTGTTTCTTCACCCAACCCTGTCATGATCAATTGTTCCCACCACTTTGCGATTTCTGCAGACCGTGTGCCAGTTTTATTTCCAAGAATGCAGCCGCACCAACATTTTTCAATTATTCAGATAGGTTTTTAGCTTGTCATCGTCTTCAATTCGCTGGGAGGAACTGCGCCCGCCTGCCCTACCTCAGCTCTCGCCAGCGCTGATGTGATGACATTGGCTCTGCAGAGGTCGCTTCCTTCCCTTTCCAGCAGGACGGGGAGCAGGATCTGTCCTTCGCACGCCGCCCCTCCTGCCATGTGCAGCAGCGCTGCCTCTCTCGCTGCATCTGGTTTCAAAACAAACCCTCTACAACAGACAAATATGTTAAACCTTTGAAAGCCTCATTTCCAGGTTTCAACAACATTCTCTTCAGAAGCGAGCACTTAATGGAGTTCATTTAAGGTTGTCGAAGCCACAACTTGCTGTCAGCACTATTTACCACTTCAGTGACTCGGCTAGAGCCTCAGCTGCTGTGAGCCAGTGCAGCGCTAATAACGGAGCCCTCCTGATTTACACCAGCTGAAAATCCGGCCCAGCCTCTGCCAGGCCGACAGCCGCTGCCTCCCAGTAGCGGTTTGTGCACGCACTCGCTGCAGACAGCACTTAGAGACGTTTTTCTTCCGACACCCCTGCCTCCGCCCTATTTTTAATGTCGGAGCAGCATGGCGCAGCGGATGATCCCGCACGGAGCCTGGTGGGCGCCAGGACTCGCTCTGACAGCCCCAGCCCTGGAGTGGGCCCCGGAGGTTGTCTTAGGACCCCATTCAGGATGTTTCCTCCTCAGTCCTGGCTTCTTCTTGGGCTCTGATTGAGTCAGATCTCACCTCATGGCAGGTTCCTTCTCCTTGCTTGTTCCTAATGGGGCAGAGGAGAGGGACCTTCCTCATCCTACCCATCACACAGTAATTCCCTGTGCTTTTTCTGGGCAGAGAAGCTCAGTTCCTCTACAGCCACGGGGCTTTTAGCTCATTGTTTCCATCATTTTTACCCCTGCTCCTTTCTGACTCCTCTAAACCCGCCTCCCACAGACCCAAGTCAAAGAGCCCTGAACCTCCCCAAATCTGTCCACCCTTTCCAGTCCTACAGATTAAAATTATCGACATTTTTGTATTCAAGCACTCCACCATCTCCCAGGCTGCTGCACCGGTTAATGTCGTCTCCAGAGCCTGTAGGGAAGGAGCTGCCAGCTCCCCCAGCCAAAGCCCCCAAATGGCATCTGGTCCATCTGCTCCATGGCAAACTGGCAGCACAACAATGACTTCCAGTAAGCTGAGAAGCGGCTGGTTTCAGCGAACGAAACCGCTGCGCCTTCTGTCTTTTATTTCGATAGTAAATTGAATTTTATTATCTTTCCCCCACTTTGCCGCAGGATTGTGCCGAGAGCCGTCGTGACGGAGTTGCAGCACGGGAGGTTTTGACCCTCCCCGCTACTGGACTGATAAAATGCAGCTTGCAGCTCCTGCACGAGCCTGGCTTTAAAACAGGCAGGGACCGCTCGCAGCGAGACCCAGCCCTCCTCTTTTGGGAGCTGCCCACAGCACCCTGACACACACAGCAGCCATCACACACCGGGTGGGGAGCTGCAGTGGGTCCCAAAATTGAGCAGGGGGCACTGGGAGCTTGGGCAGGTCGATCTGGTGGCCCCATAAGGCGTCAGGAGCTGCTCTTCTCACTTTTCTGGAATCTGGGAATTTGCTGGGGAGCTATGACCATTTCTGTCATATTTTAAGGTTATTTTCCTCAAAAATAGATTTTGCTTTAATTACAAAAATCTGAGACATTCTTACGCATGCTTTCAGCAGCTGGAGTGTTAAGAAAAACATTGTGTGCATCATGAAGAAATTGTGAGAGCTGACAAGACATCTCATTTAAAAGAGAGCAGTTCCTACCAGAACATTCGTGATTTCTGAATTTAATCTTAATGTACACATCTCGCATTTTTGTGCTTTTATGAGCTAATTTTAAAGGGCATATCAGGATATTGTGCTCCGGCACTGTTTGTTAATAGTTTCCTGTCTCCCTCAAGGAAAAAATTGAATATTTCTCCTCTGAGCTTTCGCACAACCTTCTGCCAAGTCAAAGCAGAAAGGAAAAACTGTGTGCAATATTTTACTAGGCCAAATGTCGATTTGTTTTTCTGAAATCTTTACCAATCTTCCTGGCATTTAATATTCAAACAGATAGGGGGAAAAAAAAAAAAGGAAGAAAGAAAGAAAAAAGCCCCAAAAAATAGAGCTTTCATTTCATGTGGCAGTGCCGGGAACATCCACCAGGCCGTGATGCACAGAGCCGTGTTTCTTTCCTGCCTAGGAAAGGGGCAATTAAACGTGCTGGGGAAGGTGGAGAGCAGCTGGGCACAAAGGAAAGGGATGGAATCACTTTGTTTTTCTGAGCCTTTTTAATCAGATTTCATTAATCTCCGCCGAGCCTGGCTACAGACAGCATACCTCCCGTTTTGCCAGGCCTTGGCCTTGCCCACAAACGACAAGCTTTTTCCACATGCACAAAAGGCTTCGGTTTCCACGCCGCTCGGAAGGCTGACCGCGGCTCCAGCTCGGCGTGGCGCTGCTGTGAGCCCTCGGAGCCCTGCACCACTTACCAGCAACATTCCCAAGTGTTTGAGGAAAGAGAACTAGATTTTAATCCAGATTTTTCTTTTTACAGGGACAGCTCTGTACCCACAGTCATACCCACAAATACCTATTAGTAAGACTTGTGCCATACTGAGAGTAGGTCCAGCAAAGCTCAGTCTATCAGCCATGAATCCAGATGACTTCTGTGAGCTGGAGCTCATGTTGCCAGTCTCACCATTTATAAGCATCCAAAGGAGCCCAGGTTTTACTTAAAACACCATTACCCCAACAGCTTGGTGTGTTAGCATCCTCTGGGTTCACTTCTGCCCCCTGGGCATTACAGAGGGAATCAGTTTTGAAATCTTAGCCCATGTCAGGGATGTGTCTGGGAAACACAACACACCCTGTTACTAGGTTGTGAGCATCACACTTTTTTTTTTTTTTTACTTTTTTTTTTTCTTCCTTTTTTAACATATTTGTGACATGCCCAGAAGAATGGATTCTCCCAAATGCCCTATTGCCAGTGGGCTGTTGGCATCCAGTGATCTGAAAATATTCTTCCTTTACCTACCAAATGTCACTGCTGTCTCCCCGTGTCTTTCTCCTGAGTCTTTTTGCAGGGCCATACAAGCAGCAACTCCTCAGAGAGGGAGCAAGAGGTACTTGGAAGTCGGAAATCCACCCAGGGCTGCAGAGTAGGTCAGTAGAAAGCCCACATGCTGGCTTGAAAGCTCCTTCAACATATTTATTTCCATCATATAGTATAAATGGTTACTTAGAAAGAAATTTGAGTGTTAATATGCATCCAGTTATATGAGAACAATCATTCCCTCAAGAAATGCAGTTGGCTTGATGATGCTGAAGGATTCCTAAGTCTGACAGTCAGCACCTACAAACCTGTGAAGCCCCTGTAGGTGCCTCTCCTGCCTCCTGCCCATTGTGGCAGCCAGGGCAAGGCCCCTGCTGCCTTTGTCTCTACCAAAAGCCCAGCTGATGCTCTGCAGCTCCACGCTGTTAGGTTCTTCCAAGTTCCTTGGGAAGCATGGGGCAGCAGTGGGATACAGCTGCCAAACCAAAACCACTGGGGCGTTTCCCTTCCCACACGTTCCCAGTCCTCCCCCTGCCGCAGCACTGCCCCCCTCCAAGCTCAGCAGAACAGCACGATTTGAGACTTTTTCCTAAGAGTGGCCCGCGGGACCAAACCTCATCAGAGAAGGAAGGTTTTCAGAGTGCTAGAAGGAACAGGCATCACTGACACCGCAAGTAATAATTCACAACTTTCCCTTTGAAGTATGGCAAAAATGTGTCCAAATGGCAAGATGCTCCTTCGCCTGGTGCTCTACCCTTCTGAAAAGGTTTTGCTTAACAGCACAAAGACTTTCAACAAGGAGTTTTTTGCCCAGCTCAGATCTTTTCCATCTGGTGTGGTCTGTGCAGGATCCATTAATATTTTAACCTCTTTTACTGTTAGCTCGCTGAAGCTATTTGCTAGGATAAAAGAAAAAGGTGAGATTATGTTTTCCCCTCTTGGCATCCTAACACTCTTCTGTTTTTCAGAAATAATCCAATTTACAGCAGATACATTACTAAGGAGCTTCTGTATGTTAGACATAGCCAAAAAATTAGTTACAGGAAAAAACAAAACAAAACTGCCTTGAAAGTGTTTTTCAGCAGAAGTATATTATTTTTATTGAACTCAAAAAATACTTGCTTTCTTCCATGTCTTTTTGAAAAAAAAAAAAAAAAAAGCAGTTTGGGGGGAAAATCAGTTTTAGCTCAAATCTTTTTGCTTTCTTCTAAAATATTTCTGAATTTGGCCAAAAGAAATATATATATTTTAACAGAATGTCAGCAAACTCTCCTGTACATGGATAAGCAATAAAAGGATGGCACATGGCCCAAGCAGTATGCAATCTAAGTGATCTTCGGGCATATTTGAAGCCTCAGCTACCACAGAAGTTGATTCATGCTCCCTTTTATCTTTTTTATTGTATTTTTTTTTTTGTGCCTTCAGCCAGAAGCTGGAGGATTATTGCAGATGACTCAGGGCGGAGGAAGGAAAGGTAAGGCTTACTGGGCTCTGGCAGTTGCCTCCATTCAAGAAGAGCTTTTATGGGATGCCCCAGTTGCAGCAGGAGATCAAACCCGAGCAGGCAGGGGATGGCGCCGAGCCCCCGAGTCCTCCTGCTCCCAAGGCTGGCGTGCTGGTGTGTGGTTTTCCTTCTGCCTTCTGCAGAGACACTGGGCTTGGATGCAAGTTCAGTACTTAAATCTCTCCGGGACCTGGAAACATGAGGATCCTGTGTCTGGGTCGAGCCCTGTTTAAAATCCACTGTCATTGCTTTTGGTAAATGGTGCTCGGTGCATGTTTTACAAACCACAGGGAGCCGCGCAGCTCTCCGCTGCCTTTCACTGCAGGCTCCCAGAGCACTGCACAAACAAGTACCCGAGTTTTACAACAGCTTTATACTCCAGCTTTTCTGGATGGTAGGGAGCTGACATCGAAGTGACTTCCCCATTGCTGTACAGCAAAAGTGCACAAATTTAGGGACAGGCCATAGGGGTTCTGAATTCCAGCTCTATTTTCAAAAGCAGAATTTGGTATTTCTCCACTCCTTTCTGGCAATTCACCCAAGGTTCCCATCACATCTGGCCAGAGATATGAATGATCATTCACACCACTTATTATTCTCTTTAAAATGAATGCATGAAATCCCCAAACTTGAGAGATCAGAAGAGATGCTGTGCGGGGGGAACAAGGAGAGCTCTTTAAGGAGCGACAGGTTCAAGCACACACCGAAATCAGCAGATGCAGGTGCTACACCTGTTGTGAGCAGACGATCCACAGATGCTGCTCCTGGCCTGGTGTACCCCTCTGCAAACATCTCTGAGGCTTCCCTGAGGCATTCATGTCCCGGCACAGGGGGATGCTGCTGTGGAGCTGAGCGAGGGGAGTGCTGGCAGGATGCCATTCAGGGTGAGAGGAGCAGAGCCCAGCCCATTCACAGCAAAAGTGTTGCTGCTGCTCGGGTGGTGCTCTGAATTTCTGCCCTGCCGTGGTGGAATGAGGTCTTGGGCTAAATGCTTATTAGCGATGCTTACTAATCGATAACAACATCAGCCCAAGTGGAAAATCTCAGGTCCCACACTCACAAGTCACAGCCGAGCTACTCGCTTCCCAAACCTACTTCTAAAATTAGAAACAAACAGGCCCCTTCTAAAAGCAATAAACAGCACTTTAATTGGGCTAAAACCCATAAATCTGTCAGCAGCTAGTTACTCTGCCTCCATTGTGTGACCAGCGCCTTTGAATCCCCTCCTGCGCCTTGCACCGTGCATGGTGCTGGGATCTGGAGTCAGCAGAGGCACGGTGTGATGGGCCCGGGTGGCGTGGTGTGGGACAGGGGTGCTCCCCGGCTGGGTGCCATCACCCTCTGGGGTGGGAGGGAGCTGCTCATGCTACAGGCGGCCAGCTCTGTGTGTCCTGTGAGTACAGTGCCATGAAATGGTGGGTTACACCCTCCAGGTACCTCTCAAATCTGCGCCTCATGAAATGTGCATTAAAATGCATTTTGCTTAGCAAAACCAGCATGTTTTCATCTATATATATATATATATATTATTATTTTTTTTTGTATGTGTGTGTGTTGCCAGTGTTTTAAAGTAAATCCCACTTGACTTGAAAAATTTCAAGTATTAGCATCATGGTTCAGGAGATTCCATCCAGCGAACAGGTACCGATGCTATGGCCACGTCTCCCCTAAAACTAACCTGCTCATGGGAAAATAAATACAGCAGCTGCTATTTCAGATTCACCAGCCGTCTTGGAGGGGAAAGAAGGGTGGCAGCCTTGTGGCAAAGGACAGGACCTGGAACTTTTTAGCACCACCCTGAGAACAAATCATGAAAGCTTGCAGAGAGGTATTATTAAGTAAAAAACACAACATGCTCACATTGCAAGAACAGGGCGTGTTTCCCCAGTGAGAGGGACATGCACATTGTATGGGCAGAGTTCCCAAAACTGAAGGAATAATTCCCAGTCTCAGAGGACCTGCAGAGTGTCTGTGACTGCGTATCATTGCGTGGGACACCTTTGTTCATCATGATGTTCTTTAATTAACACATCTGCCCAGTCTTCTACTGCAATGGCTGGGGGTTACAGGGAGCACGAGACCAGCATCATCACCACCTGGAGCTGGGAATTACTGGTGGGGTTGGGAAATGGGTGAATGGCAGCCAATATCACCCAGTGTCACCCTTTTGATGCCCAAAATACCAAGGCCAGAGGCCCAGCAGCAGTGAGACAGATCTGTGCCTTCCTTGTCCTGTTCCCTCTCCATGTGGCTCTGTTAGGACTTGGGAGGTGTCTTGTCCTCAGTAGCAGAGGGCATTCCCTTGTCCCAAATAAATTCACATAAAGAGAAGATGGAAAAAGAGAGCTGATGCAGCAGGAACTGTTTAGTGCCACCTAGCCTTCCTCAGATAAATAAAAAGAAACAGTATTACATACACATTCACAATATATATGGATACACACAGGCACTCAGTAAGGGTATATAATGCCAGCTCCCATGAGAAGAAAATGCTGGCAGCCTTTCAGCAAGCTATCCTCAACTGCTAGGAACAAGCACACGCTGCCTTTCTGGAGGTGTGTGGCACTCTGTGAATACATTCACCTCCTTCCAATGGAGTGATTGCTCTTAAAGTCCTTCAGATGCCTTTATACCTGGGTAAAATGTTGCTACAGACTGAGTGTAGGGGAGAATGGTAAATCCCACTGCTGTAACAGCTGCCATGGTGTTAGCTCTAGAAACCATGAACTGGCTACTTAAAAGCCAGAGTCTACCTTAAATAATCTTAAGATTTAAAAATAAATCACATATCCAAGACTTTATTTTTGTTCTGTTTTTAGACTCATTCACATCTGCAAGTATTTTCAGTATTTTTCTTGCCTCTGACAATTAGCACAGTTTCCAAAAGCTCAGAGTTTCCTAAGTACCAAACAGAGGATAATACTGTTGCTCCTTTACACCCCCCCAACTCTCAGGTTTATGAAAAAATCTAGTACCCATCCCAGGAGACCTGGGATGAAATCTTGACCCTGCAACGTTGCAGGTTTCTTCTTCTCTCCCCTACGTTGGCCTCCATATGCAGGAGCTCGTGTGGGGGACACAGGCTGCAGGTGATGGGGAGAAGTGTGGCCAGGGCCACTGCCGTGTGTGTGCATCACATATTCAGGCTCCAAAACACAAATGTGAAGAGAGGGGGAGATGAACCCTTCCAACAAGGAAAAATCATTGTACAAGCTCCAGAAAACACGGAATAATAACAGTAGCTGCAGACCCCCACTACTGTTTGCACTTTGCTCACTTTTTATTGCTTTAGTTCTCAGTAGAGGGAAGTCCTGAAAGAAAAAATAGCAATATTTCACTACGTGGCGCCGAGTATTTCAGTCTGAAATACCTTGGGTTGGGGCTGCTGTGCAGTGCAGGAGGGAGCAACCTTTCCTCTGCTCCCCCACAAAGCTGGTCCCCAAGTGCAGCCATGCTCTAGAAAGAAAAATAGTAATAAATTTCAGCAGCGTGCCTGTGAAAACAGCTGATTCTCTGCACCATTAAATACTCTGTATTTATAAACAAAATGGGGTTTTAGCATTTCTTCTCCTATAAAAACACACTGGAACATTTCACCACAGTTTTCTGTCACTTTAATTAGCAAGGAAAGAGGGGGAATGCCAGAGAGCAATTATAGAAAAATATATACTGTGCTGATTAGGGATCTCTTTTCTGTAGCATGGAGAAGGCAGCTTAAAGTTCACGGTAAATCTCTCCCCCTCTAATGAGATACGCCTTATCCAACCCAGCAAGATACAATTAACTCAGGGAAAGAATGCAGCGGCTTTCTCAGGGAAAATAAATAAATAAATAAAACTGGGGAGGCAGAGGAGGAATTCGTGCCAAAAGGTGAAGCACAAGGATCCTGCATACTCTGGCTCTCATCCTGGTCAACTCCAGAGCCCGAAATGAGCTCACGGCCTATCCAGGATGGCTCCTGGCTCTAAGCCCTTGTGGGATCCCACCACGGAGCAGCTCTCCTTCACCTCAGCAAGGGCTGCACTCGCTCGCCTTCCCATGAGATTTTTCCTTTATTTATTTATTTATTATGCCTCTTTCTGTCCCGTGCCACTCGTTATGACTTGGGTTAGCGGAGGCAGGCCATCTCCCCAGCCGGGCGTGCGGGGCAGCCGGCGGGGCTGTGCCGGGGTGGGGGCAGCGGGCCCCCCACGCCCCTCCTCGGCCCGGAGCGGGGTCAGGGGGAAAACACCCGGAACATAAATTGGACACAGCAGGGCAGATGTAGACTGAACAGGAAGCGCTGGCCCTAGGCGAAATGAAACAGCTGTTGCCATTGTTCTGCGTTTGCAAACTCCGCACGGCTCGGGCTGCGGGAGCAGCTGGTAGCAATTACCGCACATGAAAAGAAGGGCACAGGATTAGGCAAGTGACGAAAAAGCGAGGGGACCGCTAGATTTATCACTGGCGGAGCGAGGCAGCCCCTGCCCCTGCCCCACGGGCGGGGGTCACAGCGCTGGGAGCCGCAGGAGTGGATCCAGTTGTGGGGATCTGCCCTGGGATCCCCCGGGATCCCATCTCCACTGTGCCTCGTCCCCTTCCCTTGGGTCTCACCGGGACTGTGGAGGAGTCGGGCAAAGCCCACAGACAAATTTCATCTCCTCCTCTCTGTGCAAGCGGGAAAAAAAAAAACAAAACAAAACAAAAAAAAAAAAAAAAACAAGCAGACATGTCACGAGCTTTGCATTCCTTGAGAAGTTTCTTCAGCTCTTCCATATTGTCAGCATTGTAAAATAAATAATAAATAAAAAAATAAAAATCCCTCACAACTTTCTTTTTGCAAGGAATGACGAGCGTAAGAAAGGTTAGTCAGAAGGTAAAGCATGTGTTTGCCATCTTAGCTCCTGATATGGAAACCATATGCTTAAATACACCACCAAACATACTCAATATAACACTCTTTTTTATTAAAGGTGGTTTTATAAAAGCTATCCACCTTCCATCCGCTGGTGACTCCCAAAGAGGTCACATATTCCTCATTGCAACTATCAATACGTATTTGGGGTAAATTAAACTCCAAATAGACTGTTTCTGATTATTATTGCAAAGGGAGCAAGAGGCCATTTTATTTTCCCTCACTGATAAATTAAAAGAACTGTAATGGGTGATTTCTGCAACCTGTAAAAGGCCAAAACCATCTGTAACTCATTTAGTGTCACTTTAAAGAAAATTTATTTGATTAATTCAGGCAGAGCATAGAAAGAATATCGATTTTTTTTAAAAAACTCTCTTGCTCAAGAGGAAAAAACAGCAGCAGAAGAAAACCCTGACCCAAAGTAAACATTTCTGGGAGTGAAAAAATGCTTAATGTGTTACTGGGAATGCAGAGGCTGCTGCCTTGCCCCTGAGTTAGAGGATTTTTGCTCTGTCAAGGGAGACCCCAGCATGAGGTGGTTGTAACAGTGCCCGTGTCACAGAAGGAGGAATAGGACAGAAATATGGAAAAATGCAGAACCGAAGTTTGGGCTGCTTCCTTGCCCTTCTCCTTTGGAGCCAAGCAGCAAGCCCACCAGACAGACACTTGCAAAGATGTGCACGAGATTATGTCCTTCATGTTATGCAGCCAGGAACTGCTCCCTTTTGTCAAACGGGCTGTTATTTACTGCAGCACCTGAAAAGACCTGTGATAAAGAGGAGTGGACAGAAACAATCGGAATAAACGATGGCAATTTTCCATCCTCCAAACCCGAATTGATGGTAGCAACCCAAACTTCACCACCTTTGTCTGGCCTGACAAGCAGGAAACAGAGAAAAGATCAAAAGAGAGTGGAAATCAAACAGCTTCAGATATTGAAATTCTTCTGTTTTGCCACAGGCTGTCACCCTAGCTCCACGCATCGCTCAGCCAGCCAGGAATACTCCGTGGAAAGCAAGGGAAGAGAAACAGCTCCAGAAGTTCAGAAGTTTGCTCCTCCTGAAATTTCATTGGCCTGCAGGTTACCCACAGTCTCAACTCCCCTGCTGACAATTTGGAGAATAATATTAAATGGTAACTATAATATATACTAATAGATTAATCTTTATAAGTCATGCCAAGTTCTGTGGGGCCGGGGCTTGGCAGGAGTGGTCTGCCTCAGATGTGGAGTATCTAATGACGTCTTTACTGTTGCAGGATTTGCACGTGGCAGCCGGAGATGTCATTTGCACTCTGACACAGGCTAAGTCACTTACGACTATTGATCCCATCAGAGGCTCGCACCGGGCCAGCCTGGGCCCTAGCCAAACCTTGTTTAAATCAAAAGCCGAACTTGCCTTGCTGTCTCTGGGCTGCTCGCCCCGGGAGGAGGCAGGAGGCAGGCAGAGCTCCAGCCTGCTCAGCTGGAGAGTAAAGCTCCAGGGCTGATCTACTGGAATCGTGAAGGATCCTTTCAGTGACTTCAGTGAGCCATATACCTTGGCAAGCCTGGTGCTTGGTGGGGTTATTTGCACGTGGTGATCCCATACTGACCCTCGTTCCTCTCTTCTGGGCTATCCTAAAGTCACCCATTGTATTATTTTTGTTGTTGTTGTTGTAGAGGTTGGAGTCCAAGGCCTCTGCTCAGCTCTCAGATCTACAGGGGGGCGTGTTACAGTGACCCCCCTGCAATTATTGCAGACCCCCTGCAATCGATGGCCGTTACATGCCTATACTGCTTCAAGGACCTAGGACCGATGGAGTCAGGGACTTTTGAGGATCTACATCTTCCTTACAAGCTGTGATTCATCCAGTTGCACTTACTCACCACTAACATTAGCTCTGGTGTGATCCCACGGGAAGCTCTCCATCATGCTGGGACTGACACACCATCGAGCACGTGCCTCGTCTTCCCCTGCTGAATTCCTCGTGAGTTGGTAGAGCTGCATGCCTACAGATAGCCTTGTGGCTCACTCCGCTTTGGAGATCTTAGACAAAATCACCCTCTCCAGGAGAAGGAAAGTGCTGGTTTCATAACTTGCAGTGGAAAACACAGACGGACCTTCACACTCTAAAGAAGAGCAGAAAAAGTGTAAATTTTGGTAGGACATTTACTGAGAAAATGGCAGAAACCTGACAAATACTCATAGCGATATTTTATTGTTGAAGATTTATTTTGTTAAGATACTTCTCATAAAATATATTGGTTTTCCTGGTTAAGCAGTAGCTGTGCCTAGTTTACAAGCAATTAGAGCCACCCTAACTTACCCTGCCTAAGGTCAAATCTTCTCCCCAAATTTCTGACCTTGCTGTGATTCCTGCAAGGAAAGATTGGTACTGCTTGTGTTCTCTACACCAGATATAAAGAGAAAGAGGTCCACTGGAGCAAGAGAAAACACTTTTCTTAGTGCTCAGCTAATTAGGGTTTTCCAAAGCACCAGTCAGAGTTGCTATTGCAGCACACCATGCACGGGGAAGCCTCCTGGCTCATTTTTGCCCAGAGCCAGTGCCTCTCCAGTGGAAGATTATTGATTTCTGAACTGACACAGTGACACAGTGCCTCGGGAAACTCTTCCTTTTTCCGTCCTCTTCTCTCTCCCTTTTTCTATTTGCTTTATTTTGTTTTGTGCTATGTGAGCCTTTAGTCAAATATCCCACATACACACTCATCACTTGGACGGCTTTAAGCACAATCCATGGGCAAGTCTGGGCACTGCATTAATATCTCTTGTTGTTGTCTCTCTGTAGATTATCCTCTGTTACTGTAATTCGTAAATTCAGCCCTTTGTGTACATGCCTCCTTTGTGAAAATGCAATATCATTACTAATTAAACAGGGTTTTAATAAGTTGGCTGATAGCTCCCCACAGCATCTAGGAATTAACCTCACCTGGGAGCAAGCTGCTGGTTGAGGCTAAAGAGAAGCTTAGATAAAGGCGGGGAAAGGAAAAGACATCAAAGTGCTAGTCACCACCAAAACCTCATCCTCCACAAATTCTAGGTGTGGAAATGTTTCTCAGCCATAGGGATCCTCCCTCCATGGATTTCCAAATAACTATAATCATCAGAATTCCCTCTTTCACCTCCCCCTGGCCTGATTATCTCATCCTTCTCATTTGAACTTGCTTGCTATGAGCAATACATTTATGGCTTCAATGCTTTATTACCTCGATCCCCCAAGTGCTTAATTAGGTTCAGATGGTGATAATTTAGCAATGCAGATCTTAGGGACAGCAGTGTCCTTGTGGTCTGCTTTCACCATCGAACAAGGTTCTGTCCCTCATCTCCATGCTTGTTTCATGTATCCAGCTTCCTCAGAGGCTGTGGGTCAATACTGGTATAAGCAGAGGACAGAGTTTTCTTGGTAGCTGACCGGTGCTTAGGATTCATGTTGGCTTTGGAAATTTAATGTTCTGCAGTCTCCAGCTATTTTTCTCACAATTAAATACACTTCTTAACAAAAAGCACAGAATAAACAAAAAAATCATAACCCAAATTAGGTGCTCTCCGAGCAGACACATCAAAACCCAGATACCAAAATCACTAATCCTTCTGGCTATAACTTTTAGGATGTTGACAGAGCCTATATGCTGAGATAAAGACTACAGTATGGATATACAGCTGAGATAAGGAGATGATTTAATTCTGAAGCAGACAAGAAGGCTACATTTCAAGGGCTACAGAGGGAATTCATCTCTCCCTGAACATATCACTCCTGAATACTAGCAATGCACCTTGATTCTTTGTTCTTGCTCCTTTTTTTTTTTTTTTTTTTTTTTTTTTTGTCCACACTTCTTAATAATATGTTTGGAAACTTATTAAACTTACAAATCAAGACTCTGGGTTAAAGGCAACCCTATCTAAACATCTTAACATTTATAAAAAGATTATCATTAAACATCTCATAGAGAAATTCTGAACAAGTGCAGAATCTGGAAAAAAAAAAAGTGCAGAAAAAATAGCTAATGTGTCTACTTTTTAATTAAATGTAAATATAATTTGTAAGGCTTATGGGTTTTAAACAGAGAAAATTTACTCTGCATAATTTCCTTTCTGGTTAACCTTACAGGCAGAAGTGGAAATAGGGTTATTCATAAGACTTCTGTAGCTATTAAGCTAGTTACCTTGGATCCACTGTTGCAGATGACTTCAACACATCCAAGATTTCACCTGAGGTTCCTAATTTACAGTGACAATATAGAGGTTTTAAGCATTAAAATGAACATTGCTAAATGCCCTAGTTTACAGCTTGTTTGGGATGTCAGCAGATTTTTCATCTTTATTACTGCAGACAGATAGCAAGGCTCTTATCTGCACATACCTCATCGGAATGGCTCAAACATACAAAAGTGAATTCTTGGTTATTTTAATGTGACAAGTAAATACAAACCAGTTACAAATACAAAGGCAGGATAAATACGCCTGACAATACGGCCGTGCCTAAATTACTGCCAGCTTAGTATTAAAAGTTCTGTAGTGGTTTCTGGTTCAAAGAGTCCCATAAAAAATCAGAGTTAATTTAAAACTTAGCCAACCATGGGAATATTTCTCATTCACACAATACAGACTTCTCTTGTGCAGGTCTGTTTATATATTTCAACTCCAGAGCAGTTTTCCATTTCAGTTCAGGAAAGTACTCATATTCAGTCCAGAAAAGTAATTAAGCACATGCTTCTCTATGTGCCTTAGTTAGACATGTGCCCATAACTTGTCATTTCACCTGTTGCAGCTTTTTGAGCCAGTTATGTCATTATTTGCACACACACACACAAAACCCAGGCACCTAATTCCTAACAAGACTGTGATGCCGGGTTATGATAGATCAAATGTTACTGAATAAAACACTACCAATATTTGTAGAGATGGTCCACTAAGCATCACTGCCCAGAAAAACTTGGAAGTCCTGACCCACCTATGGAAATCCATGGAAATCTTTCCCCTGATGTCATGAGGAGCATCACCGGTTCTCAAGAGGGAAGATGAAGGAAGGAAGGCACGCTGCCTGCAGGCTGGTAGTCCCTCACCCTGCAGAAGCACTGAAGAAGATCTGTTGCAAAGGATTACCATGCTCATCTACAGGGTCGCAGTCTGGCTGTCCAGGGAGTGTGGGGAGCACTGGCACCCCAGGGACAAGGCCCCCAGCACAGACGGGTTTCTCTGAACACTGCTCCTCTGGTGATGGGAGAGATTCTGTGCCCAATGCTGTCAGAAATAGAAGATGTTTTCACCAAATTGAGACAGCAAAATAGGCGTTCCCAGCCCACGTTCCGTCACACAATCACAGAACCATTTGGTTTGAAAGGGACCTCCAGAGATCTCTACCCTGAGCTCCCACTCCAAGCAGGGTCAGCACTGAATTCAGGCTGGGCTGCTCAGGGCTTTGTTTGTCTGAGCCTTGAGAACCTCCAAGGATGAGGATTTCACAGCCTCTCTGTGTTATTCAACAGTTGCCTGCTGTTGCTATCTACTTCCCCAGCTTTTCCCAAAACCCTGCCGCTGCTTACACACAGCTTCTAGCTCACCCTACAGAGCCAGAGCCCTGCAGAAGCCAAATAGTTCCCAAATAGGAACTGCTGGCCCTTCCCCTTCCCACACCAGAGAGACCTTTCCTGGCGCGCCGTCATACGGTTAACACATGCTGTGTCGGCCCTGCCAGCAAGCTGGGATCCAGAGCCCTGCTCCCGGCTCGATCCCATCGCGGGGAAGGGGCTGGAGCGTGGCCAGGCCCCCAGCCCACCTGCTGGGTCTCCTGCCCCCACCACGGTGTGGGACGGGCCACGAGGTGTGTGTAGGCTTGTGTCTGGCCCTGGTGCAGAGCAGGGTGCGACCAAGGCAGGCATCCAGAGCAGGAAAATGTTCCTACGGTGCACATTTTACTGCAGCCTCTGTGCCCAGAACGGGACGGAGCTGGCACCAGATTAGTCAGAGACGGAGGAAGGGAAGTCTGGCAGAGATGAATGCTTGCGGCCTTCTCCCTTCTCACCAAATATCTCGTGCTGCTCTTTCCCTTAGCCTAATGAGCTGGGGCTCCAGGCGGTGGTTTGGGATGCCTTTCCCCGAAACCAGCTTCTTTCACAACATGATGTTTCCTTCTCAGCCTGCACCCCGTCGAGAGCTGGGTCCTGCAGGCCCTGTGTGCCCTGAGCCAGGTGGGTGCCATCCCCGTCTCGTCCCTGCTGGGGAAGGAAGGGAAACCTCCAGCACCTTGGTTGTCTTTTAAAGCAAAATCTTGGCATAGCAGCATCCCGACACCCTTGTCTCTGAGGGAAGTAAGCAGGACCCACTGCAAGGAGTCACCCACCAGCCTCCCTCAGACTGATGGAGGCCCTGCTGCACAACAAAACACCTCTCTCTGCAAGCAGCAGGCAGCCAGTACACCAAAAGGCACATTCCCTGCTGCTCTCTGATCTCTGGAGAGGCTGGCACGGCTGCTGGGAGAAGGAAGAGGAGGAGGAGGAGAAGAAGGAGGAGGATGGTGTGGGCGATGAGGCCAGCCTGTGATCTGGGTGTGAAAGAACCCACGTCTGGGCAGGATCAATGGAACAGTGCCGAGGCTTGCGGCGACGGGAGAGGGAATGGGAGGGTGGAGAGGAAAAGGGAAGGAGCCCCCCTACAGCTGCTGAGAAGAGAGGGGAAGGTAAAAAGGGGACTGCGATACCACCAGGCCCACAGGAGACTCAATGGGTTGTCTCATTATTATGGTGAACAGAGAGAGCTCATGAGCTGGGAAAGATAGGAAGCTTTTATTTATATATTTTTTTAAAAGAGCGCAGCCTCTAGGAGGGTTTTTGCAGCTCAAATGCTTTTATTTTGTGCCAATTACTTATACAGGGTCTGCATTATTCCCGTAATCAGTCTAAATGAAAGTCAAACATGAAAGATTCCTAACAATGAGCTAATTGGAATGCCATTACCATTTAGATTTAATAAGGTATTTGTAATAATAAACTTGCCGCAGTCTATAGAGTTGTCTTATTCCTGCTCAGATCTTGCAGGAGTGTAAGAGTTGACATTTGTCATTCGTTCTGCAGGACATTGGATATAACCTTCAAAACGTTTTAGTCTCGCAGCA